TTGAAGTCCATACATCTTAAAGTTCCCAAGGTTGAGAAACACTGATCTAGAACAATGATTCCTAACTGAGTGTGCTCCAGTGTATGGACTTCAAACTCTCATAGCTGTTTACTGGGAAATTTAGAACACACATCTGCACCCCACCAGGCTGGAGAAGGCTGACCAAGAATAGTGAGATTATAATCTGAGAAAGTACCTGCAAGAATATCAACCCACATAGATTTATCGTCATAAGAAGGACTACTGAAGATAGGTTTAGTAGCCGAGCATTTATTGTGCTGAAGAAGCCAGATGTGGTCCAAGCAAAATGTGAGCAAACAGCTAAAAAGGCCAGATATGTCCGGATCAGGAGAGATAATAGTTCCAGGATATTCTAGCTGGTTGGGCCACAGTTCTTGGCACCCCATTAGTAACTAAAAGTTTGCTATGTTTCAGAAAGGGGCAGATGTGTTCCCAGTTCAAACCCAGAGCAGAACAAGGACCAACAGGAGATTCAGAATGCTGGCTGGGGAATTCTGGGAGTTGAAGTCCACTCATCTTAAAGTGGCCAAGTTTGGACAACACTGGGTTAGAGGGTCCGAATGTCAGCAGGGAGACCCAGGTCTGAGTCCCCTCTCAGCCACAGAAGCACCCTTGGGGGATTTCAGACCAATCACTCTCTCAATCCAGCCTACCTTGCAGGGTTGTTGTGGTGGGGAACAACGGTTGGAGGAAGTGCCAAGGTTGCCCCCTTGAGCTGCTGAATGAAAGACAGGACGTACTATTAACAAATAAATAAGATTTGTGGCACGCATTTCATCTATTCACCTTCGCTGCCCGCCGCTCCCTTGGCTTTGTTATTTTGGAGTGGCAGAACTTCCAGAGAGTTGATTCCCGAATTCTCCAGGATGTTCACTTCCACCCGTAACTTGCCCACCAGCTGCTGGGGTCGGATGCTGACCGTGTACTGGTACTTCCCCAACCGTCTCTGGAGGAGCTCCTCGTAGTGCAGAAGGAAGGTGGCTTCTCCCTTCCGAGGAATGAATCCAGAGGCTTTGAACGTCTCCACTTGGTTTTCTCTGCCAGAAGAATTCAAAAGCCTTTTAGGGACACGTCTTTCCACGTTGCCTGCTATGCCAGTAATCAAGGCGTGCTGGGGCCACTGGTGAGAGTGGGAGGGAAGGAGCAGGGAGAAGATGCCAGCCTGGCTGAAGAGGTGGGTGTGGTAGTCCAACATCAGCCGCCCAGAGTCACTTGGCGAGCGGGCGGTGTATCAATTCAACCACTAATGAAGTCAACCACATCTGGAAGACACCAGCTTTGGGACAACAGCTGTCAAACCAACCTAAGTCCCAGCTCCTCCCAAGAGTTACCTTCCTGAGAAAGGGTTAAAAAAAAAATGGGGGTGGATATTGTCTTCGTGTGGTGACTACATGAGCATAACTGTGCCGTTTCCTTCTTCCATTCTCCCAGGATGCTGTTTTTCAACTTCCCAGCCCACATTCCCTGGTGATCTCCTTCCATGGGGTCCAGCCCCTACATGCTAAGGGGTTATCAGTGTGCTTCCGGGGGCAATTCAAGCTGCTGGTTCTTATTTCTAAAAAGGAGGGCTGGTCTTCAGACAGACAACACAAGGGCTACTGAAACTCTACTTTGTTGTAATAGGGTATAATAACAGAAACTTGAAAGCCAGGAAGAGCTTTCTCGGCCTCCTCTTATATCAACAGAATCAAGGCAGGGATACTTTGATTTTCTTTCTCACTCCTTCTTCTTTCCCAGGATGAGTTGTCCTTCTCTTGATGCTTCTTGCATTCCTTCATCAAGGTTACTGGATCTCCATAGTCCTCTAAACCAGGGTTCCTCAACCTCATCAACTTTAAGATGGGTGGACTTCAATTCCCAGAATTCCCCAGCCAGCCATGCTGGCTGGGGAATTCTGGGAGTTGAAGTCCACCCATCTTAAAGTTGCTGAGGTTGAGGAACCCTGCTCTAAACCAAGACAATGCTGTCCTTACCTGTCATCTGTGGGTTTTGAATATCTGTTTTTCCTTTCTTTATCTCTGGGCAGCCAGTCTTTACCAATAACCTCCCCATGATAAATTTTGCCGCCAATAATCCTGGAATCAGGAAAGAAAAGGATATGCAGAAAAAGGTAGAAAGGCAGGTACTGACGGATCAATCTATTGAGTCTGTTTTTTTCCCATTTTTCATTTATCCAGCCTTAACTCTCTTCCCTCCCATTTCTGAATTAGTTTGCATTTTGCTAAAAAAAAAAGAAAAAGTCTGAGCAAAATCCCATGCGGATTCAAACACCTTTAGCACCTAACAATTTCCCTATAAACTGTGCTTTATTTCATTATTTACAGCCTTCTCTGCAACAAGAGATCTCTTATTGTTCGCCCTTCGAGGTAGTCCAGACAAGAAGCACAACCATAAATCCTAGCTCTAGCTTTATTGTAAGGTTACATTAATACGATCTTGCAAGACTGAAAGTATTTCTCCCCTCCTTTCCTTTTACTCTCTGGAAGGCCAGGGAGGGTCCCTTCTGAAATGCTTCCCAAGCCCCTTTTCCTTCTGTGGGCTGAGATACCTTTTACATGCTGGTTCTCCAGTC